AAAAAAAAAAAGAGAAAATGAGGAAAAGGGTAGGTAGATGCGAAAGGGGTCCAAGAAAATATTTGTAATAGGCAAGAAATGTTTCGGTCCATTAAGTCGTATACATTTCTTACCATTATCACAACTTCTATTGCTTTTGTGCCGGCCTAATTAAAAACAGAGTCATTATACTTCCTCCACATTCGCTCCAAATGAGAGGCGGGAGCACTCGGGAAGGAGCACGAACGGTAGCAAATGCCAACAGCAACTATCGATGATTCCCTCTTTCGTGGGTTATTTACAAGCAAGCAAGCTAATGGCGAGTTTGATTCACTGATGAGTTTGAGTACCATATGCCAAGTTTCCAGGATATTTTTTCCCTTTTAAAACAAAAAAAGCCGGCGTTTACTGGATAGTACATGCCTAAAAGTCTCAGTTGTCTCATTTGTCGAGCAAATACTTTCGTGTCAAAGTAAAAAAGAGTAAAATTTTAAAAGCAGCTTCGACACAAAACACACAAATATAGCAGCAACAGCGGCTGGCTGGCTGGCTACCTTATGTGTTGACAAGTTTTGCGGCATTTGCATCACATGCTACAATTTTGACACGATCGATTGTACCATCAATTGGCTGCGTCACATCCCGAAATTCAACATTTTCCATGACAAATGTCCAGACATTATCACAAAATCGATATGCTTTCAATTTGTCAGCCTATAATAATATGCAAAATCACTGCACAAATCCGTAACTGGAAAAGTGAAAAAGAATGCAAACTGTGCTTCCTTTCATTCACGGAGCTCTGTTTTGCAAAAAGATGGACTAGAAGCGAATCGAACCACTCGTCTTCACTGCACTCCCACCAGTTGTGCCTTAGGCTTAGCGCGGTGCACTTTTACCATGCTCACTGGAAATTCTGCTAGCTAGAAACCTCTGACACAGTGGTCCTCGAATTTCGGGAAGTTAATTGTCCATGCTATACTGGGCCAGGGGACTCTGTCTTGATGGGCATTACTAGCCAGATCCTTCAATCCTGGATTACATACACTCAGTAAGTGTCCGCTGCACCTCCGACCACATGCGTTATCTCCTCGGAAGTTGTGCTTTAAGGCAGAATACACCTTCTCTTTTCTTGTCTAATCCTAAAGGCAGTATGTATATCTTTCTCGGTCGCATTTCTTTAGGCATTACATCAATTTTTGGCAGCTTCTTTGCTGGCTTTTTGCGGGTTTTCTGTGACATTTTCGGCCTTCATTTTCGAGGTCTCATCTAATCTTCAAGATTACCAAGACTGCTAAAATCGCCTCATTGGCAGTTCAGTTCCCCACAAGTACCACTCACTAATATTGCAAAGTCTACCAGTTGTAAGCAAAGCGAGCAACATGTCCTACTATTCGAATTTTACTTTTTTTTTTTTACCGAGAATGCAGTACAACACTCATCCTGTAAGTCACAAAAATTTCGTAAACTTTTTCTCCGTTCTCAATTTTAACGTCCAAAAAAGTCGAATTACAAATTTTTCGCCTTAAAATCCCACCTTGCGGATAATTGACATTTCAGAATTTTTCCGATTTTTGTGTAGCAAATAACCTTATACAAGAAAAATAATGGCAAACTTTCAGCGCTTACCTTGAAATTGATTTTATTTTTAACCCGTTGTGACAGTGCTTTGTTGATACATTTGTCAAAAGTGGCCATTACTGTCTGAGCTAATGTGTCTGATATCGTCCCATCCTAAAAATGCCATGTACACGGCTCAACAGGGATGTATACGACGATTACTCAATGGACCGAAACATTCCTTTTCAGTTACTTCCTCTCCATCTTTATTATACTGTATATTTTTATAAATTTTTTGCACAAAAGAATCTTTTCACTCAAAATTATTTAACCTCAGCCCGTACTTCATTACGCTTTTCAACTATTATCCTAAAATTTATTATTATTACAAGACAACTAAGAAATGGTGCACCTCTCTAATCAAATTTAGTTACTATCTGAGCCAGAGAATCTTCTACCGTCTCATCCTCACAAATTATCGGTACGTTCGGATAGGGGAGAGGAACGGGCAAGAGCGGAGAATAAGGGGAGGGGGGAGGTGGGGCGAAGGAAAATCTAGCCATTTCTCCTATCACTGATTCATAACGGTCAGTTTTCAGGCTTCAAGTCTTTCCGCACTTAAAATATACATCGTAAAACAATCGAATCCAGTTTTGGCATCATTTTAAGCTAATTTCCACTGCTCTGCGATGTCACAACGGTGGAAAAAGAGTATCCAAAAATAAAAAAAAAAAAAAGAAATTCTACCTCCACATATTCATCCAATGTGCTACGGAGTGCAATACCCAACGTTGTTGACCTGTACAATTGATATGCCATCTGAAAATTTCAAAATTAAAATTCCCCAAAAAAACAGGTGCTTCAAACAAATGCCACGCACCGACCCATAGTCTAGAGAATTCTTTTTAGTAAATCCTACAAAATTTTGCTCATCTGATGCAATATAAAAATAAAATCCATTGTCTAAAACTGGTTATTTTTTTCTAGAAAGCAGCAATTCTAACACACAAATAAATATGGCGATTGGAAGGAAGTGCACAAATTACGAGAAGAAACGCAACGATGAAACAACAAAAACAGCAACAGCTTGATCGAAAGTAAGTATGAATTCGTGCATATACTGTGTAATTTGAAAAAGCCAAAAACAAAATTAGATGAAAAACTTTATTTACATCAATTACACATATTCCCATATAACAAGAAAAGTCCACAAAGAAACAGCATAACAATATCTGGCGTAAGCTAAAAGAAGTGAAAATTATAATTGTGGCATGAAAAATTTACAACATTCTCCAGAGCTGTAAGCCGTGTACAGTTGTTGCCCATCTTCCGTCAGATCCATTGCTAGCAGGTGACAGTTCGGGCCAGTCAAATTCTTGGCTTTCATTCGCTAAAAAAAGTTTATCATTTCGAAATGTAACTAAAAAATAACTGAAAAATCAATTGAGGAGAAGATAATAAATCAATTTAGGACAGTTCGGGCCTTCTTATCATTTTCCCATTTTTCCTTTCTTACTTTTTCCATCATCCTTTCTTATATTTTTCCATCATCATTCTTACCAAAAAAAAATCTATTAAAATAAAAAATAAAAAGCAATTAAAATATCAATTGCAACAAAATTAAAAAATACTAAAAAAACTTAAAAAATAAATGTCAAAAACACAACTTTTTAAAACAATAAAAACTATTTTAAACGCAAAAAGAATAAAAATATAATTTCACAAAAATAACAAAAGCAGAAAAAAAAATTTTTCTTTTAATCTTAAGCATCAAAATTACGAGGATATCTTGGATAATCGGTGGGCGAATCCCAAAATGCTCCTGTATGATATGCTAAGCCATTCGATACTAAGCTGCACTCCTCCACTAGAGTAAATACCACTTGTTTTATGTATGTGAGTTGGCATCATGTCTCGGTGTATGCCACCAGTAGCAAATAAAGAATAAAATAAGAAAATTAGTTTTTGAAACGTTCATTAACTAAGGCCAAGAATGCTTGGACTATCGATATGCGGGTATCGTCTGTTGCTGATGTTACTGGAAAGCCTCCACACGCCAAGCGCAGCTATTCAAAATTTAATTCCAAGCATATATATATATGTATAAATATATATATATATA